ATGAGGGGTGGAGGAATCGAATAAGGGTTGGCCCCGTACAAGGCAAATGCCTTGCCTTGCTGTGCTATCACTCCAGCCCCTAATGATGCAAGTAATTAAAAAATTTTATTTTTGAAACATTTGTTAGCAATCTATACTATTTTTATATTTTATCTGGTTTAACCCTGACTTAAATTTTTCTGAAATATATATAATGAGAAAAAAATATATATATATAAACATATATGTATATCACTTGATCACTTGAGATCCCGTTACTCATTGATTTGCTCAAGCGGGCGCAAGTAACATCTCCATTCGTCCCTGTCGTGTGCTAGTGTAGCCCAATGGCGTCTGCTCACTCCAGGATAATGAAGAGCCTCAAACTGATCATTCAGGGTCTTGACAAAAAAGTCTGATCATCTCGTAGGTGGGCAGCCACGCAATCTTCTGAGGTCCTGTGGAATCCAGTCGGTAATGGCTGTAGTCCAGCAGTTGTCTACAAATCACATTATGTGTCCAGCCCATCTGATTTTCGATGAGGAATGAGAGAGTGTCCCTGATTCTTGACTGTAGACAGAGGTCAGAACTCCGGATTCTTTCTCTATTTGAGTGAAGTGATACTCCAAGCATAGCTCTTTCGATTCCTCTTTGGGAGACCCAAATAGTGTTCTCATCCTGTTTTCATAGGGCCCAGGTCTCTGAGGCATATGTTAATGCAGGAAGAACAGTGGAATCGAAGAGATGTGCCTGGAGGCAGAGGTTCTTCTTCCTCTTAGCTATTTCTTCAACATTCTTGAAGGCATTCCAAGCCACTCTCTTCGGCCTAGGTACACATAACTGTTGCATTTGAAGATGTTTGTCCTATTGAGAGCAAATGGAACATCAGGAATGAGACTGTTTCTCATAAACATTGTCTTTGTGAGATTCAGCTGTAGTCTGACCTTTCCACACTCATGGTTGAAGTTGGCTAGCATTTGTGCCGCTTGGCTGATGTTTGGTGTTATTTGAATGATGTCATCAGTGAAGCAGAGGTGGTGTAGTTGCTGACTGTCTATCTTCACTTCCATTTCTTCCCATTTCAGTCATTGCATGACATTCTCGAGGGTGACACTGAGGAGTTTCGGTGAAATGGTATCACCCTGCTGAACCCCTCTCTTGATGTCAATGATCACCTCCCTGTAGAATGGTGAGATCCTGGTAGTGAATACGTAATAGAGCTCACAGAGGATCCTGATGTATTGAGTTTGAACACCCTGTTTGGCTAGGGCTTCAATGACCACTTCAGTCTCAACAGAATCAAAGACCTTCTTTAAATGAACGTTAGACAGGGTGGCATCTTGAACTCCCGAGAAGCCTCAGTGAGCTTGGTTATCATGAGGATATGGTAGATTGTGCTAAATCCTTTTTGGAAACCAGCTCGCTCGCATGGTTGTCCTTCATCCAGTGTTCTGCCAATCCTATTCAGGATGACTCAAGTGAACAGCTTGTAGACAACAGACAACAGGCAGAACTGGCAATAGTTGCCAATGTTGTGAATGTCTCCCTTCTTGTACAGTAGTACAGTGCTGCTGGTTTTCCATTGGGACAAAACCTTGCATTCAGAGAGGTAGCATGTGTATTGATTAGTACTGGGAGCAGGTTCTTCAGGTGTACGGGTCTGACCTTGTCTGGGCCAGGTTTTGTTTACTTTTTTATCGACGAAATCGTGTGTAGGATTTCTGAAGGGAGAACATTGGGAACGACATATCCATCTTGCGGAATTTGGTATGTGGGCAGGTGGACGTGGCTATCGAAGAGATCTGAGTAGAAGTCATGGATAATCTTCTCCATTGTCCTTCTGGAAGATGTGATAGATCCATCAGAACGTAAGAACGCAGTCATCTTGGTCTTGTAGTTGGCGAAGGACAGGCGGGCGTTGTGAATGCTTTTCCCAGCTTCTGTCACATCTGCCAGCACTGCTGGTCTTCTCTCTTTGAGTTCTTCCTTGATTGCTTCTTTGCACTGCTTTGTGAGCTTGGACTTTCACTTGTGGTTGCCTGAGGCTTGCACCAAGCCACATTGGTGAATGAGCTCAAGAGTTTTCAAGAAAGGCATCTTTTTATGGCTATCTCTTTCTTGGCATTCCGCGCACAATCATGGAGGTGCCGAACCAGTTGATCATATATAATAAATTTTATATACACATATAAAATAAATTTTAAATTTATTTTAATATCTTTTAAATTTTTTATTTTACTTTTTTTACTGAAAAACTGTGAGATAGATCCTTACAAATTTGCTCATGATTAGATTTCAGTCATGCAGTAATTTTATTTTTTAATTTTTATTTATTTACTTATTTATTTGGGAATTGAAGGAGCTTTAATTTTAGTATAGTCAAGGCCATCTACTACAAGCCCACAGCAATCATTATTCTCTCTTTTTTAAAAATTTATTTTATTTATTTATTTAAAAAAATTTTTTATTGGATAATCACTGTGAGGTACTGTTACATACTTACAAACGTTCGTGTTTGCATTTAAGTCATACAATGATCAGCTACCAATCCCTCCACCAGTGCCCATTCTCCATCACCAATGATCTCAGTATCCTACTCCCCCTCCCCCACCTCTGTGGCAGGGCATTCCCTTTTGTTCTCTCTCTCCTTTTGGGTATTGTGGTTTGCAATAGAGGTATTGAGTAGCCATAGTGTTTGGTCTATAGTCTATTTTCAGACAGCTCACAACCCAGGGAGTCCTCCCAGAACCCTTTACTTGATGTTCCCTTCTCTGTCTGAGCTGCCTTCACCCCCTCCCCCTCCCCCCCCCCACACACACTCCAAGCATGTGAGGTCGGCTTCCAACCAAAGGGCAAACCTCCTGGTCCTTATCTCTACTATTCTTGGGTGTTAGTCTCCTATTCTGTTACTTTATATTCCACAGATGAGTGCAATCTCTCTCTCCCCCTCTCTTTCTGACTCATTTCACTTAACATGATACTTTCCTTGTTGATCCACTTGTATGCAAATTTTATGACTTCATCTTTTCTAACAGCTACATAGTATTCCATTGACATACAGTAATTTTAATACCTTTTTATTAATACCTTTATTTAATACCTTTTTATTAAGGCACCACAATTCACTGTATGGAAGGCTATCTTTTCTCTATGATAAGATATATTCCTATATTTCTAGCTGTATAAACTATTTCAACAGTTTCTTGAGATTTACATTTTGATCCCAGATTCTCCTTTTTTCTAACGTTTAATTCATAATGCTCAAACCTTTAAATCTCCAGATACCCCTAAAAGTCCGTTAGTACCTGTCCATGACCATAAAATGTTCTCTTGAACACTTTCACTTAATTGGGCTATTCAAATGAAGCAGTTGATCCCAACTCTAACATAATTTGATTCACAATGGCATTTGTGTGCACATATAATTTGACTTAATCTTTACAAATCAACAGATTTCACATTAAAAATAAAACTGGAATTCCTGATTATTTCTTTTGAAAGATGAAGTGCTTTAGCATCAGTAGGATCATTTTCCTCTACATTAACAATTCTCTAAACTCAGGAGCACTTACCCTTTAGCGACTGATTTGTGCTTTTCAGTTCTGTGCAGGGATATCATATCATCTCACTTACTCTTATCTCCTTGACCTTTGTCAGCACTTGAGTAAAATCTCTGGTAAGAAGATTGCTACCTACCTGCTATGACTTGCAAATCTTCTTTAGCAAGGCTGATGCGAAAGATAAAAAGGAACATATGAGAATTTGTGGGAATTGCCTGGATTCTCCTTAAGTTCCTGTTTTTAAAAAGGAGTTAAATATAATTACTTCCCTTATAGTAAGGAAGTCACTACTGTAAGGATGCCCATCTCTTCTAGTTTTGTCTTCCTTTCTCTTTCTCAGAATGGGTCTGAATCTTTGTACTGGTTCAACTTCTGATTAGCAATCCCCTTTTCCTTAAAAGTGTCCTTGTTTGGTTGATAATTGTGCTAACATCCTATTAATGAATCCATCCTAGGAAAACCTTTCTTCCACATCCAATTCTCTTGTTCTGTCAACTTGGTCAGACATTGAAGACATGGTCAGAAAAGGGTTTTTTCTTACCATAAACAGTGCTTACACATTTGACTAACTAGGATAATCGAGGCAGAGATGTCATTAGCTTCTTTAAGAAATTAAAGTATTTTTAAATATAGACAGGGCTACTACTTACCTTGGCAGCATTCTTTCCAAAAAAAACACAGAGATGAGCACAGCACCTGTGCAAGGCACAAACGCAAATTCTGGAAGCCCCATATTAAAAATAACTTTAAAATAAAGAATACAGGATTATTTTCTTTGAAATAAGGTTTGGTGGGTGTTCTTGCTTTGTTTTTTTCTTATTCACATATATTCAAAGGATGAATAATTTGTAGTGAACAAGTTCTTCTGATAAAAAAAAACTCAAATTATCTAACTGCTGCAACTCATAAGTCAGTCTGAATATATGTTTTATGGAGGGAAACATGCTTGATTAGAGATAAAGGAAAATTGATCATAGTTAAGAGTTTAGTCGGATTGATTTTTTTCCTTTTTAGTAGAAGGTAAGGGGAACAGGGGGACCAAACATGAAGTGGTAGGTGTAGCCTATCCTGGGGAGAGGCAATTATGTATGTAAAAAGGATTTTTAACCCTTTTACCAGAGTGAGAGAACATGGTATAGGCCAAATGAAAGAAAGCACAACCAACCTCATGAGCCAATATGAGCACCGAAAATAAACTCTATGTTGTTATCTGTTTGAGAAAATGAGAAAGAAATTTCACACATGGGGATTTTTTTTATGCCTTTGCTTTTTCAATTTTATTAATATAAATTTGTTAATTATAGAGCCCCTGATTCATGCTCGACTGCCCAATTCAAAAGCAGGGATGTCCTCAGTTTCTTCTTACTTTTTCTGTTACACAGCTCATTCAATAAATGTGGTCATAATTGATGGCTTCCCAGACTCATGATTTCCTTTGAATTGTATTTGTGTTCTTTCCAGGAAGCAAAATGTGCCTACACACTCTTTGTCATCGCCATGTTTTGGCTTACAGAAGCTTTGCCTCTGTCAGTCACGGCTTTGCTGCCTGGTTTAATGTTCCCATTGTTTGGGATCATGTCTTCCAAGAAGGTAAGTTACCTAGCAAATGTTGGTCAGAATCAGATTTTTTACTTTGTATTGATATTTTTATTAAGGAGAGTTAACTTTAAAAGCAACAATAAGGTTGTTGGTAAGGGCTGCACATAAATCCTCCAAACTTTCAGTTTTGTGTCTCTTGAATTCTGCTTGTATGCCTCCTTCAAGTGGCCAGAAAATAAAAAACAGGCTTCAGCTTTTTGAGTCATGTAGAAGTGTGTGACTATTATCCTAACTAAGCTGACATTTGTGTTGTCTTTCCCATACAAAAGGGCCAACACATTCCTGTCCTGCATAAGCTTTTTCTGTTCTGCAAAATTCAGTCTCACACAGAGCTGGAAAAGCAATTTTTGTTTTTAATGAAGAAAAAGCTTCTGCGTTTTCTTTTACAGAAATCTGCCATTTCACAAAATAAAGCCAAATTAACTTTCACGTGTATTTCTATTTTGCTCTTGCTGAGAAGAGTTTATTCATGCTGAGAGGTGTTTCTTCACTTCTACAATCTAAGGGTACCTGCCTGAAGAAAATGGATTCAGTTTCCCAATAAAAACACAAAATGCACTTGAACCTACCTCCATGCCTTCCTTAGTTACCCAGCACACAACTGCCTAAACTACAGCCAAAACATTCTCAGGAAAGATATAAAATTCATGATGCCAGTTCAGGCAATTTATCACCTTTGGGCTTCTATTTTCTGCCCTGGCTCCAATATTGCTGCTCTCTTGAGGCTCATTTGTCTTATATTGTAGGAGGAGAGTTTCTCTGTAACTAATGTGAGAATACATATGATTTTTTTTCTTTCCTGTGAGAGGCTTTAATTCCTTTCTTGTTTTTCATTCATTCTTCTACACTTTAGAGTCCAAGTTTATTTTTGCATTTCTGTTTCTCTATTGAACAGGAAAATGCAGTAAGCAGTAAGAAATGTCTTGAATCTTCTTTCTCAGAACAGTTGCTTATAGGGGAGCATAGTAAAGAGAGTGTGTCCTTACTGCTTCAAGACAACCTGGGATCTATGAGAAGATTCTCAAATACTCCCACCAATTATATGATTCTCAATACATTGAAAAAGTAAGGGATTGGCAAGATCTCAAAAAGTAAGGGGTTGGCAAGATCTCAGACTTCCTATTCCTGCTACCTAGGTGTTTGGTTGGGCGGGGGGAGAGACCAACATCTAGAAATAAATAAGTTAAACAGTCACATATTTGTCTCCCATGATTTAACATCAACCAAAGTGGCAAAATTGACTTTGTAAAAGTGATGGAGAAAGAAACAGGCTAATTGGCATCCAAGAGTATGTCCATAGCAAGCAGGCTAGAGAGGGAAAGGAGGAAAACTTTGCCTTTGAACTACTGGTTTTATGCAACCTTCCAGGAAAATGTCTCTGCCTCTTTGCAGGATGTGGAGGCATATATATATATATATATATGTATATATATATACATATATATATATATATATATATATATATATATAATGAAACACCATGAGGTAAAGTTGTAGACTTACAATTTTTTGTGCTTGGGTTTCGATTATACAATGATCAAATACCCATCCCTCCACCAGTGCCCATTTTCCACCATCATGGATCCCAGTAACCCTCCCACCCAATCCCCGCCATCCCACCCTGCCTCTGTGGCAGGGCATTCCCTTTTGTTTTCTCTCTCCTTTTGGGTGTTGTGGTCTGCAAGAGAGGCAATGAGTGGCAATCATTATTCGGTCCATAGTCTACTTTCAACATGCATCTCCCATCCTGGGAGGATCCTCCCAAAACCCTTTATTTGGTGCCGCCTTCTCTATCTGAGCTGCCCTTTCCACTAGAATGCCCGGCTGACCTCTAAGCCATGAAGTAATCCTCCTGGTACTGATCTTGGCTATTCTTGGGTATTAATCGTGGAGGCTTTTTTTTAAGGCAGAAACACTCTATACCAATGGTAGCAGCATTATCCAGGTTGCTGATATCTACTCAAGATTCCTTTATTGTCAGATATGTCAGCCTCAGAAAAATTTCGCAGTTACAGGATTATTGATTTGGAAAGAAGTTTGTCTGAGTCATCCACTCTAGACCAGAATTTCCTTCCACACTGGTTTTTTTTTTTTTTATAGATGAGATCATTCAGGAAGCACCTAAAGGCTTAATTGTGTAGGCCTATATTATCCCACAAGAAAACCCATAACATTCTCTGAAGAAGTTTGATGTTTAAATAACTCAGCTTTACTGAACCCAAGTCTGAAATTCATTCTCTTTGACTCTACATTTTCCTCTTACATCTAATAGTCTACAAATAAACCTCATCATTTCTTCCTATGATAGTATTGCTTGCATTTGAATATATATATGTATATAATTTTTTCTTTAAGTTCCTCCTCCCTCGGCCGCTCCTCTCTTTTTTTTATTGAAGCACTGTGAGATACTACTGAATTACAGCATTGTTTGTGGTTGGGTTTCAGTCATTTAGTGTTTCAACACCCATCCTTTCACCAGTGTACATTTTTTTACCACCCATGTCCCCAGCTTCCCTCCATTAACTTGACTCTATGGCAGACACTTTTACTTTTATGGTTTCTAGACCTCAGCTTTCTCCTTCACCCTTACTATCCCATCATCACAATCATATTATTTTAATGGAACTACCTCTAGTTTGTAAAAAATACTTAAAGATTAAATATTTTATAAATGTATTTACCTGTTATAGAATAAAAGCTCTATTTATAGGTTAATGTTATTACCAGGCATGCCTTGACAAAAGCAAATATATTCCTTAAAAAGCATGACTGTCATAAAACTTAAATATATTATCTCCTTCTATTATTCCAAGCTAAATTTGTTTAAACTTTCATGTGGTTTTCTTGAAAATTTACCAGGAACTAGCCAGAATGCCGAATTCTTAAGATTTTAAGTAGAGAAAGCTATTCTTTAGAATTGTGATTTTTTTTTTCAGCCAATGCAATGAACTTTTACTCAGAAAAGACTGACCAAGGAAAATTACAGGGAATGGGTTAGGGATTTCATGGGAAGATGAACTAAAATCTTGCTTATTAAGCCATTGTAACATTTTAAGTCTAAGTAAATTGGGGCCTTCTAGAGTTTTAAGGCGAAGAGTGATCAATTTGATATTCAATTTTAAATAATTAGTTTTGCTCTTGGTTTGAGAAACAACATAACAAGTTGGAAGGTGTGACAGATAGTAGGTTACTAATGCACCAATTCAGGTAAGAGGCAATTCAGCTACAGCAATAGGAATATTGACTGTATTCTTGATATACATTTTTGTGAAGCCAACAAAATTTCCCAAATGACTAAATATGACACAATCAAAAATGCTTCATAGAGGGCTTTTTGTTTTCTTTTCACCTGCCAAGTAGATGATCACCAGTTAAAATGTGAAAGACTGAGAATAGAGTGGACTTGGTATAAGAGATAGACTGACTCCTAGAGATCACTACTGGACACTTAATTTCATAAAATCTATCATCTATGTGAAGATAGTAAATAGGCAGACACACAAGAGTCCAAAGTTCATGAGAGATGAGCTAGAAATAATCACTGAAGTATCATCAGCGTATTAATGATACTAAAAGCCCTCAGACTTGGTGAGATCATTTAGGGAGTGGGTAAAGATAAAAAAGCAAAGAGGACAAAGAACTGGACTTTGGTAAACTACATTATGAATTTGTTGTAAGGAGAAAGTACTAGCAAAGGACACTGAGAAGAACAGGGTAAGCGATGTGGTAGAAAGACCATGAATGTGGGGTTTTGGGATTCCAAGGGAAGTTAAATGTTTTAAGGATGAGACAGTGAATAAATGTGTCAAATCTGATAATGTGAAAAAATGTAATGTTTCACAATGCAAAACTTTAAGGCTGACCATTAGAGTTAATAGCACAACTTATGTAAATTTATGTGGGAGGAGGGTTTTGGAGCCTTGCCCAGTAATTCTCAGAAGAGGCCATTCATAGCTCTGTGCTCAAGAATCATTCCTGGTGATACTTGGGAGACCAAAGGTGGTTGCCAGGGATCAAACTGGAGCTATCTGTGTGCACACTCTTTATTTTATGCATATTTTTATTAACAATACTATTTCTAGGTAAGAGAAGAATAGTGCACTTTAAATTTGTATTCAGATCATCTACATTTTTCTCGACAAATCATGCCATGTAGTTGAAGGTCAAAGCTAAAAGCATTGAAACAAAAGCATTGAAAATTAAAAGCATTGAAATCATACTTCTCTTGTACAATGTTATTTTTCTTCCACAAGTGTAAATAACGATGGGTTTAATTGTAATTTCAGGTGGCATCTGCTTATTTCAAAGATTTTCACCTACTGCTAATTGGAGTCATATGTTTAGCAACATCAATAGAAAAGTGGAATTTGCACAAAAGGATTGCCCTGAGAATGGTGATGATGGTGGGTGTGAACCCAGAATGGCAAGTACTGTGTTTACTGTTACAGGCTTTGTTCCAAACAGAATAATTTCGTACAGAGCAAATAAGTAAATAAGCTAGGCACAGCCAGGCAATCCTTTGTTTCACAGTATAATTTATAACTTTTTTCTAAAAATTTTTCACTGAAAATATGAAAGTGATATAAGGTGGACTTAAGCTGTGGGCAAAAAAAAATTTTTTTTCACTGTAGGTCTAATTACAAGACACATGGAATAAGTGGTTACAAAACTCCCGCTATTGACTCTAAGTCAATAAACTCCCGCTATGTATCCTGGGAGTCAATGCTAAGATAAACCTTGAGCTTCAACAGGCAAGATTGGTAGACTTCAGCAGCGATTTCAGTCCTTTCTTGTTTTTTTTTTTTTGGCTGATAACACATTCAAGGGTTATTGAAGAGCACCCTTGATCATGAGGGAGAATGTTAAGAACCAAAGACAAAAGACATTACTGACAAAATTAAAATGTGTGCAGAAAAATTCCAAAGCGAATATTTTCCTTTTTAAAATTAACTATTTCAGAGTGAAACATAAAAATGTTCATCTGAGAATATGAAATCACTCATTTGACTTTTTTTCATGTTCACTGAAGTGAATGATTGGATATTTTACTGTTAATTTTTGCTTGTGTTAAGAACATAGATGTTACCTTAAAAAATTGTGTCATAACCATTTGTATAATGGCACAGTGCCTTAAAGTGTTTGCTGGTTCTTCCTTTTCAACTTTCTTTGATTTTTAAAGTTGTATTCTATTGCATAATTCATTCTAGAGCAAAAGTTCCCAAACTTTTTCAGCTTACCACCTCTTTTTTTCAGATAAAAAGTTACTCACAGTTCCTCTGGAAATCTACTCTTTTAAAAGAAACAAACAAACAGAAGAATTCCCTATTGCACCCTAGTCCCCTTGGATCATTCCAGCATCTCTTGGAGGTGCTATTACCTACTTTGGGAAAGATAGTTATAGACTGCATAACTATATCACTGTTTATTGTTTATGGAACAAACTATTGACTCTAAGACAACTACTGAGCACGACTTACTGTGGTCCCAACTCCCATCCCCCAGAATAGTGAATTTAGATGAAACAATAAAATATGTTATTTAATGTTTTCTAATTTCTAAATAGTAAGGCTATTTCATTCTTAACTTGAAACTGTACTCCCCTACTTCTTGGGATGCTAAATGAATGTGTCCCTTATCTTTGAACATCTGCTTACTCACCCCAGAGGAAAACATAGCACATGCACAGTGGAGCTAATCTTATCCATTATGCTCTAAGTGGCTTTTTCATTTAAGGCGTTCATCACATAAAAACTTATTGACCCAATCAACCTTCATCTTATTGGAAGATTTCACATCTTATCAATGTTAAAAGTTAAGATAATTTCACTTTTATTTTCATTAAGAATCACTTCTTCTTAACTGTAATTCTCAACAGTTTTATTTTGTTCTGAACATTGAAAATATTCAGCCTAAATGAAAGTGAAACCTATAGTGTAGGGTTTTTCTTGTAAATATATTTCAAAAGAGAGTCAGAGGATTTTATAAATGAATCTATATGGAAAGAGGTGCTTTAGAAAATTTTTTGAGATTTCCTACTTAAAAGATTTATTTTCCCCCATGTAACTGAAAGTTTTATTGATGTAACTCGGAATCTTATAAACTTAGGTAAGTTATTTTTAGGGGAAGATCTACTCTATTTATAATAGGAGATAGTGTAACAAGTTCTTGACAACACGTAGAGATGTCATATTCAGGAGAGCATAAATAATGAAATCTACAGGAAATTCTAAAACCTCATTTTAGATAGTGATTTTAACCATTTACTCTACTTCACAAATATTGAACAAAATGACTTAATAAAAATTAACCTCTCTCCTAGCCCTTGTGTCTCCTTAGCAAACATTCTAATAAACAGAGATAAGACCAAAAGACTAAAGAAAGTGTAAGAGATCCTAAGTCCAAATATTGATTGCACCTCACCTAACTAGTTTCAGAGGGTGTGTGTCATCTGTGAAAAGACAGGTACAATTTTATATGCTGTTATCCCTCTACCAGCTTATGGCTTGCTTATGAATTTTATCATTTTTCTGTTTTTGGAAAGAAGATTCTTTTGGTTTCCTTGGAGACACATCTGGTAAGAATTCCCCTCTTACTTGTGCCATTTTGATTTCTACTTGTCCTCAGAAGGAAACTTAACCTTCCATACGTTTTGAAAACATTAATTTCCAACTTGTAGACAACATTCTTTATAGTGAACTAATACAGGGCAAAGTAAGTTGGCACTGCCAGAACTAAAGGCCCTCTCCTTTCAGGTTGACGTTGGGGTTCATGAGCAGTACTGCCTTCTTATCAATGTGGCTTAGCAACACCTCCACGGCTGCCATGGTGATGCCCATTGTGGAGGCTGTGGCACAGCAGATCATCAGTGCTGAAGCAGAAGTCGAGGCTACTCAGATGAACTGTATCAGTGGAGCAACCAACTATGGATTGGAGACTGATGGTATCAAATGTTACTATGGCCACTGTGGAACCTAGTCATTTGGGCAGTAGGCAGAACTCACAGATTTGGGGTTATATTTTAATAAACTATCCCTATAGATGCAATCTGAAGAGAAACCAGAATATAAACCAGAAACCAGGGGTAGCTTTGTGGGTGAGGGCAATAGGGGGAAGGTTTGAGGGAAAGGTTACGGGGAGGGTTATGGGGAAGGTCAAGGAGAGGGTTACAGGGGAAGGGCTGGAGCGATAGCACAGAGGGTAGGGCATTTGCCTTGCACACGGCTGACCTGGGTTTGATTCCTCCATCCCTCTCAGAGAGCCCGGCAAGCTACCGAGAGTATCCCACTCACACGGCAAAGCCTGGCTAGATTCCTATGGCGTATTCAATATGCCAACAAAAGTAATAACAAGTCTCACAATGGAGACGTTACTGGTGCCCACTGGAGCAAATAGATGAACAATGGAATGACAGTGCTACAGTGCTACACTATAGATGCATATCTGTTGGTGTGTAATTAACTTTCTTCTTTTTACATTTCTGAATATCTGTCCAAGGAGCTGCATTACTTAGATATTTTCCTTTTTTGTTTTGTTTTGTTTGGGGGGCACACCAAGCTATACTTAGGGCTGGCTCCTTGCTCTGCACTCAGAGATCACTCCTGGCAGGGTCAGGGGACCATACAGGGTACTGGGGATCGAATCCTGTGAACCATATGTAAGGCAAGTGCTCTTCCCTCTGTACTATCTCTCCAGCCCCTAACAATTTGTCTTTAGTATTAACTTGAACTTACATTTTCTGACAAGATTCAGAATGACCTTTCTATCATCTAACTGGTCGGAATAAAATTCTCTCTTTCCGATCTACATCAGTAGACCTCCAGTCAAATATGCAAATGTATCAAAAATCTTTAATTCTTGCATTCTGTTTAAATATATTACGTTTTTCAGTAGAAATAAGTGATTCTGATAAATTGCTCTGAAACAGTGAAAAAATATTGTGAAGATATTTGTTCATAAAATTTCTAATTAAATTAATATTATACTCATAGTTTTATATGTTGTTTTTAGTTTTTACTAAAGCTTTCATATTTTTGTATGCACATCTACACATAAATGACCTGATAACCCTCAATATAAATTATTTTTCTTTGATTTAACTTGCAGAAAGTGCTAATGGACAAGAAACAAATGAGAGCAAAGAGAAAACAAAACAAGTTCCAGGGTAAAGAATATTGGCATTTTCATTTGAGTTTTCCAAATTATGTTTTAATAAAGTTATAAAGTGGGTAAATTTATTTTTCAGATGCAGTAATGATTCAGGGAAAGTTTCAAGAAAGATGGAGGTGGAAAAGGTACATTTCATTTGATTCTTTCTAAATTATTATATATGAAATTAAATCTGCAGATAGATATATGCATTTAAATCCTATTATTTGATTTCTTGTCTATAGTGAATCTAGAATACATTTCTATGCTTGCCTCAGCTAAAGCATGGAATATAGTAAATAAGCCTTCATGCATATGCTGAAATAAAAATCTAATAGGAGACTTTCTAGGTCCTGAAAATTAGCAACATTATGTTCTCCTCTTAGAGGTTCATAGTGATAAAAGTTTGAATTTGTAGTTTAAAGAACTGTAATTACTGTATAAGAATATTATTTCATTTTCTTATTAAAATCTTACTGGCTTAATTCTTATGAAGAACATCCTCATTTCTTCCATTTATGAACTTAGACCAACTCCTATTCCTGTAATTACAAACCAGTTATCTTTAGTGCCATAATTGCACTAAGAAATTTAGTGCAAAAGTCATGAGTTGCTACTATCACAGATGGAGTTAGTTGTTTTAGTCATTCTAGCTATTAAAGTAAGAAAGAAGACTTTTGTAAGCTGTCCCATAAAATTCATTTTCCTCAGAATAAATCAATATTAAAATGCTAGTCTGAGTAAAATGTGAATTAGTGTATCTTGAGACTACTGAAAATAATTCTGCCTGGAAACAATCCTATGGTAACCATGGCATTAAGAATAGAAGAGCAAGACAGATGTTTCTTTCTTAGTCTGTTACATATTAGCATGCAACTCTATCACTATCACTATCACTATCAATATAACCCCGTTGTTCTTCGGTTAGCTCGAGCAGGCCCAGTAACGTCTCCATTCATCCCTGTCCCATGCTAGTGCAGCCCGATGACATTTTGGGGGCGCCTTCAGGGTCAGGGGAATGAGGACCATTTATTATTACTGTTTTTGGCATATCAGGTACACCACCGGTAGCTTGCCAGGCTCTGCCATGCGGGCAGGATACTCTCGGTAGCTTGCCCAGCTGTCTGAGAGAGATGGAGGCTATTGGGGAAGCCTCTAATCACCTTTATGGGTGTTCCTAGTCAGGTATGTATGTGGGTATGAAGCTCTCAGTAGCCTGCCGGGTTCTCTGAGAGCGAGAACTAGAGAATAAGAGGTCACATGGCCACATTCGCGGCTGTGTGCTTCCCAGAGCTTGGTTTTATAGTCTCTGGATCCTGGAAGTTGATGGGGTTATACGGCAGTTGGTGGGTGTAACTGTCTAGCTACTGGAAGGTGAGGGAGCTGGGTGGAGGAGACCCAGTCCCGAACTGAGCAGGCTTGGAGATCTCAGCCCCGGGTCCCGCACACCTGGGATCCTCTGCTGGTTCCTTCATATGTGAGGCTCGTCCAAGTGTGTGGAGAGTGGTCTCAGCATGGCTTTGGCTGGGTCCGGGAGGTTCTCAGCTGTTGTGGCTCTGCTCGGGGTGGAGAGGGAAACTCAATCAGCCCTCCTCTAAGGGGCCCCAGTGAGGACAGCCAGTCGCGGGAGCAGGAGACTCTGCCTTGTTCTCTTCCGGGAGCTTGGTTTTACAGTCTCTAGATCCAGTGTTATACTCTGGTTTTTCTTCAGATCGTATAAATTTTTTGCCTTTTACTAAAGATTTCCATGGAGAGGAACAATTCTGAGTCTTAACCCAATGCAACTCTATGGAAAAAACAAAACTCTGTTGTATTTACAGAAATCTTTAAGGAAAGCGGTTCTATGTAAAGGGAAAGTGAAAGCAATAAATAAAGTTTAAATATTAACTAACAAAGCATTTAAGATTTCAAATATAAAAGTGAGATGTTTGTTTTTGAAAACATCTTCATCTTTACATTAAAGAAGAAACTTAAAACAAATATCAGAGCATGCCAGTTACTTCAAAGGACATATTATTATAGAGGAGTTGTTATGAAAATTGTTATAAAGGCTAGCAAAGAATATATTTGCATTAGTAATATTACTGTGGATATCTTTAGAAAATCTGGTGGAAATCTCTAGCAACCAAGTTTTCTTGCACATTGCCTAAATTTTGGGTAAGGCCCTTCAAAGCTATTTGACATCCAACTCTGTACTCAACATTATGGGTCTATTGATGAAAGACCTAGTTAGGTACACATTTGAAATCCACCAGGGAAATGAACTTCATAGTAAGGGTGACAAAAGCACCCCAACAAAGTCACACACAGAGGTTAAGTTTTGTAGAACTATGTGAAACTAGTTCATCCAGGCACATTGTGAGTAGAGAGTATGATTTAAGAAAATTTGAGTCTGAAAACAAGAAGATGTGTCTAACTAGAGAAGTACGTTCTCCATATGTGCAGGAACTACATATCCATGTTCACTAGTTGATCCTCTATCATATTGTGTTACCTAACACAGAGTATAGCACTATATAGCACTGTCCTCCTGTTGTTCATTGATTTGCTCGAGCGGGCACCAGTAGCGTCTCATAACAAATTGTGAGACTTGTTACTGTTTTTGGCATATCAAATACATCACGGGTAGCTTGCCAGGCTTTCCTGTGTGGGCGAGATACTCTTTGTAGCTTGCCAGCCTCCCCTAGAGGGGCAGAGGAATCGAACCTGGATCGGTGCATGCAAGGCAAATGCCCTACCCACTGTGCTATCACTCCAGCCCAGCACAGACGAGGTAAAATATTCTTTACTCTATTAAAGGATGTAAGTGGAAAAGGAAGGTGTAGTCTAATCAGAGAATAAAATAATATTAAATACCCACGTATGTAGAAAATTTTTTGATTTGTGGGATCAGATTAAAAATAGGTGTTCATGCCTTAGATAAATAACTCAGATGAAAAGTTGAGTTTATTTTAGGGGGAATTGAGATCTTAGAAGCAAGGGTGATATATTGTAAATTCTGTTCTTGAAATGCTGACCTGACTGTGGTTAACAATGTGATGGTCAGAGGCTATAAATTTAGATGGATTTTGTGAATAAACGTCGGGGATAAAAAGGAGCATAGGAGATGATGTGCTGCAATAAACTATGTAGGCATTTAATTATGATGTCACTAAATGAGATGGGGAAAAAAAGGAAGGAAGAATAAGTGTTCAATGGAGAAAACCAAGAAAATTTGGGTACATTTTAGGCAATAGAAATTAATGTCTGAATTTAGGAGAGCAAGACTATTGAATGCTGAGTTTATGACGGCCTATATAAACTGATGACTAAAAATTCAACTTTATGTAAAAAAAATATGAAGGGATAATTTCACACAACAAAAGTATTCTTTATGAGAAGTAACGGGAAAGTCATTTTAAAATAGTATTTTGGAATATGTTTAGACTTTTCGCAATTATAAATTACTTTTTGAGAATCAACATATTTTATATTTTATGCTGTGATTATAATAAATTGCACCTCTCCTTTGCCAAGTTTCCACAGTTAAATTAACACTAAATGATTTTGTGAAAGTATCCGTATCTGTTTTATGTAGTTATGAGATGGAAAGAATACTTATGATGTTTTGGTCTTTGGTCTGCTTTGTGAATTTGGTAGCCAATATGATGAATTAATTGAATTTGAGGTTATAAAATATTCAAATATCATTCCCTATGAAGTGAAGCTTTCAAAATAAACTTGAAAGAAAAGGAAAAATATAGTCACCGCCCATTGTCTCACTGTCTTCCCATTGTTCATTGATTTGCTCAAGCAGGCCCAGTAACGTATCCATAGTGACAATTGTTACTGTGTTTGGCATATTGAATACATCACGGTAGCTTGCCAGGCTCTGCCTTGCAGGCGAGATACTCTCGGTAGCTTGCCGGGCTCTCCTAGAGGGGTAGAGGAATCAAACTCGGGTCGGCCATGTTGACCGCTTGCAAGGCAAATGCCCTACCTGCCGTGCTATCGCTCCTGTAAATTATATTACTTTCCCATGTTCTAGCTAAAGTCTTTTACCTTTATAATTAAATTAACTTCAGACATTTGATAAGCTCTTAATTTTTCAAATTTTGTGTGTATTTTATGTTTTAGAATTTTCCATTTCTTTTCAAGTAAATAGCATTTACACTGATCCACATGAAACATAGAACTTTAGCAGAAAATTTCCAGTAGGTAGAAGAAAATTAATAACGACCAAATAAATTCTGAATTTAGTGCTTACGATAATATTAAAAACATACATCTAGTATTTATTAAGTTATTGTCATTTCATAGCACAGCGGGTAGGGTGTTCGCCTTACAAGCGGCCAACATGGCCGACCCGAGTTCGATTCCTCCGCCCCTCTCGGAGAGCCCGGCAAGCTACCGAGAGTATTCGATATGCCAGACACAGTAACAACAAAGTCTCCAATGGAGACGTTACTGGGCCCGCTCGAGCAAATCGACGATCAACGGGAGGGCCTTTACCTTTACCTTTTACCTTATCTTTACAACTTATTTGATTGAAGTCAGTATATCCTTCTTCCTAACCCCCTTGATTGTGTAAACTCACACAAAGTGGGGGGCACGGCACCCACAGTGGCAGTGGCTCTATCTCTCCCACCACCCGCGTTCGGTAGTCTCACCCTTCTCCCACCCCGGAGAGGTCGATGGCGATGGTCAGGCAGAGGAAGGAACGAGGGCCAGGCTGGTAGGTATTAGTCGTAGTTTATTCTGATTCTCTCCTCATCTCTCCTTCTGTCTCTGCCCCCATGCTACTTCATTCTCCTTCTCCATCCCCCTTCATCCTCAATGCAAATTCACCAATAGACACAACGCAATGTTACCCAACACTTGATGTTGCCCTACTTTTTTCCAAAGCACATACAGCCATCTTACAAATTATATTATTTCTTTATTTATTTGTTTTGTTTAATTTTTTACTCCACTAAATTTAAGATTATAAAGGGAAGACTTATTTTGGGGGGAGTGTTGAGAAAATTTTATTCATTTGTTTATTTATCTCAAACATTCAAACACTGATCATTATAGTGTATGCTTTTAATAAATATTTACTAAGTGAATGAAAAACTTAGGTAAAATTTTCTCAATAAAATTTACATTACAGTAACCAATTCTGGGT